GATTAGCTTTTAAATGTTGTCGTGGTACCGATCAGTTAAGGAAAGGAATGTCATACTTGTTGTGGTGATTAGCTTTTAAATGTTGTCGTGGTACCGATCAGTTAAGGAAAGGAATGTCATACTTGTTGTGGTGATCAGCTTTTAAATGTTGTCGTGGTACCGATCAGTTAAGGAAAGGAATGTCATACTGAGATGGTCAATTACAAATGGTATAACTCTATAAAAAAAAAATTAACAAAAAGAACATGTTGAGGCGTGAACAGTGTGTAAAAATAACTAAATAAAAATATGCTCTACCAAACACACTATCATGTCTTAAACTTTCTAAATAAAAGATGAACGGTCTCCTACAGTACTGTGAACGCAGCCAAAGAGTAAATACATGTTAGTACACAACGTCTTCAAAGCACTATATATACTCAGTACCCTCATTAGACATTGCATATATCCTCCTGAACTAGCAGCTGGACTTCAAGCTAGATAATTGCTGATACAACTAGAAAAACCTACAGAAGTTAACATGACACATTGCCAAGTTTCTTGTTTAGTGTTTGTTTTTTCACCTGTGCTTGTCTCACATCAAGTCTATAGAAGCAATGACTTAAACAACAAAACAAACTCGACAGTACAGGCAAAAATCACATACGTTAAAAACGCATGGTTTGTCTCTGGCATTCTCTAATCTTTATCACCTTGCCCACGATAATGGAAGGTTCTGCTTCACATGTGTTCAATCGACAATCACCTTCCGCGAATCACAATACCAAGATTTTACAGACACTTATGAACAAACTGTTTATAACTAGAAGATTTTAGCAAAAGGTAATTCTTCTCTAGGTACCGCAGCGCTGAATGAAGTAGCAAAGTCATAATTACGTGGCGTATAAAACGATAGTAAATTCCGGAAAAGAAAAACTATTTTAACGACGTTAAAACATAAAATAATGCTGACATTTTAGTTTGTTTTATGTATACTTGATACTATGACCGTTTGTGTAAAATTATATACACGATATTTACATATCATGCCCTAATAAAACGTATATGGTTATCTTGGAAAAACTATACGTTGGTCCAAACATTTCTTATCATAGAAAATATCACACTATTTTTTTCTTTCTGAACTGTTGTCGATAGTACTGATAAAAGATAAACTGTGTACATAGCGTATAGAGTGTTATTAGATGGACGAGTAAACTGCAGGCTCGGTTTTGGAATGTTTCACATAACTTTGTTTTTTTTTACTTCATACCATAAGCAGCATTTGCTACATCTTGACAACCAATGAATTAGAAGTGTCATACCAATCCATCATCCAATTCGATCAGCAAGAGAAGCATGATACAAGTTTTCTTCATATTTTTAAACAATTTCCATATATTTCTAGTATACAACCTTTCATGAAATAATACGGTATACGTCTTCAGTCGCCACCTAGTGAAAGCAACTGAAGTGAACCTAAGATCCAAGCATTGTTTTAGTTTCCACAGAACAATCTACTTGGTCCGCTTGGGAAAAAAATATCAATCCCCTTGTGTATGTACAGTCATTATATTCAACATATATACCGTAAACAAACAAACGTTCGAAAAGATATATGTGGTATTCGGTTAATGAATGTCGCGTTAGTTCAATATCAAGCCACTAGAGAGAGCGTGTATATTGTATTCTACATCCGCAATATTGGATACTGATGATATTTACAGCTTATTATACAGCTGAGCATTACTCTCGTATGTAAATTAACTAGTGTATTATCTCACAAAACGAGTTGTATCTGAAACTTTGGTCGCTTATCGTTCAATTATATGAACAATGCTCCTTTTTCATAATATTGAATGCAGCGATAGGATGAATGGTGAATGAAACACGTACAAGTTTTTTTCGGTTTAGTTTCGTCTTCTTTTCACTGTCTTTAAAATCCTCACATGACAACCTCAAAGAGACAAACTTAAAACTCAACAGAAAATGAGAACAGTGACGACCCTAACTAATCCTTCTGTTCTGAAACACAATTAAGTAAGAAATGTTGTAAATGCTATGTATATTAAACTTGTATGAACGAACAGGTAAACAGTACGGGAGACCTATATAGGTATAAGTACTTTCATATACTCTCAAAACACAAACTTTTGAAATCGATTAGCATAAAGGTGGGTGTAAATATATGAACACCAAAGTTAAAACTTAGCCACCGAAGATGTTTTACAGCCTCACCATTACAGACACATAACAACTGTTATAACTCGGAAACTGCCGTACTTACGAGGTCAAAGTATGCTTTTGTTTCCACATGTGAACTTAATAACTTTCTGCAAATTCTACGTACATTTTATCTTTTCTACGTCAAGACACTCGTATTAATAATTCTGAGCGTCTAAACAAATCCACAGCAACACATATAATATACTTCTAAACTATTGATAAGCATATTTCGTTAAAACTGCTCTAAACAGGGTGTCTGGAAGTTATCTTACCAAAATTGTTTACTTGTGTTTGAAAGGCAGGAGCCTTGAACTTCTGCTACAATGGCTATACTAGAATCCCATTAGACTAACGAGGGGAACATTGCAGCACTCAAGAAATAGCCTGGCAGGGCGACAAAGGTCCGACAGGAGTTTCAACACATCAGAAATATTGATACATCTGTTGACTTAATTTCCGGACACCCTGTATATAATCTAAGCCTTTTCTGAATTGTAATTCTACTCATAAGGGTTGTGTTCAAGGAATTGCAATATGTTAAACATTTTTCCAATCAAACAACTCCAAATAAACAAGACTTTTTTATTATTAACTATATACTAATGAACTCCCATTCGTTCGTATTACCAAGGTCATAAGTTGAGTATTATACGGCAAAACGCTGTACTGTCACATTTGGGCGTAAACCAAATATATCTTACTCAAATTCGATGACGAGGAACCCACTTTGAGACTAATAATGGCTGGAGACGGCTTAAATGGGTAATGAAGAAAAACTTTAATATGTACCTGATG